TTATGTCAACTTAATTAAGAGACCAGCCAAAAGAACCTAAAAAGGGTTGGGGCACCTGGGTGGCTTAGTCAGTTAAGCATCTGACTTCAGCTCATTTAGGTCATGATCTCACAGTTTGTGGGTTCAAGCCCTGCATCGGTCTCTGGGCTGACAGTGGGGAGCCTGCTTCAGATTCCAGGTCTCCCTCTCTCTCTACCCCTCTCCTGCTTGAGCATGCATGCGTGCTCTCTCTCTCTCTTTCTCAAAAGTAAATAAACATTAAAAAATTTTTCAAAAAAACCTAGAAAGGGTTAAGGAAAAGTTTTCCTACACCCTGGTGTCATGAGACTGAACATGTCCCTTTTCTGTGGGCAGTTGCCTCCTCTGCTGGGGTTGGAGATGAGGGAGTGTGTCTGGGGTGAGGAGAGTTGTGCTGATTGGCCATAAATGCTTCATGTGGGAGGGCAGTCAGAGCCTCAGCTGAGGGCCTAGAGCCTTCTCTCTCGCACCTACTGCCACCTGGCCTCCCTGAAGCCCAATTCCCTCATGTGTAAAATGAGCATGGAGAGCACGCTCATGGGCTTGTTGTGAGCATGTGAGGAGATGGCATATATAAAAGCGCCCGACTTCTAGAATATGTTAACCCAGTGACACCTACTCCCTTCCTATACATGGACCTGACCAGGCACGGTTCTGAGCTGCACCCATGGGTGCCAGTGTTAGAGGTTCACCCCTTTGCTCAGCCACAATCACTTTGTGGCTGAAGAAATTGAGACCCACATAGGTTTTGTCACTAGGTCAAGGTCACATATGAGGTTGGCAGCAAAGCCAAATTCTGGACGTTCCTTATTCCCAGTCTCAAGCCTGTGCTGTCTCTACCGTACCCATGACTTTTTCTGAACCTCTTTCTGGAAATCAGAAACCTTCCAAAGAAGTCATGGAGAAAAGCTAAAGACAAACCGAGTCCCCTCCCTGCCCCTGAAGTCAGAATTTCGCTGTCGTCTCACCAGCTAGAAGGGAACAGTATTCAAGCAAGTTCCCACAGGTAGGATGTGGCCCAAAGTGTAGAAGAGAGGGAGAGGGAGAGCAGAAAAGGGAGTGGGAGGGAGGGGGAGGGAGAGAGAGGGGAGGAACCTGCCTTGGTGCTATGCTCAGGAGGCCATGTGAAGGGGAAGAGCAAGGGCCATGGAATGAGAGTGACCTGGAGTCACACAAACTGAGTGACTCTGGGAAGCCTTAACCTCTCTGAATCTCAGTTAATTTATTGGGAAATTCACATAATCTGTCCCCAGCCTCACCTGTCTCAGTCTCTGTCTCTCTGTCTCTCTGGGTTGTCGCAAGGATTAAATGACAAAGGAGATAGTTTGTAGGACATGCCCCTCATGGAGCCTGGACAGAATAGGCCCCCTTAAATGCCACTTCCCTAACCTCTTAGTGGCCTCATCCACTGGAGGATTAATTAGATAGGGTGTTTGCTAAGCAGGACTTCCTCAGGATGGACATGTTCCCCTCTCTTTTCTCTTAAAACATAGGCTTCTAGGAGGCTCTAGATGGCTCAGTGGGTTCAGCAGCTGACTCTTGATTTTGACTCATCTCATGATCCCAGGGTTGAATGGAGTCCCACATTGGGCTCTATGCTTGGGATTCTCTCTCTCTCTCCCTCTCTCTCCCTCTCCCTCTCCCTCTCCCTCCCCCTCCCCCTCTTTCCCTACCCCCCACCGCATGCCTTATCCCTCCCCTGCTCAAGTGTGCTCCTGTGCTCCCTTTCTCTCTTTCAAATAAAAACAAACAGACAAAGCAAAACAAAGACTCCCTGACTGGTGAGGGTACTTCCTGAGAGTGAAAATGGAAGCGGACAGTGAACTGCCCGTGTCAGTCTCCCCATTCTCCTGGGCTGCTGCGTGCTCTCCCGGTGAGCACTGGGACTGGCGAGCCTGCAGTTGTAGGAAACAGATCCTTTGATGGCTTTGTTGAAATATCTTGGGAGCCAGAGGTGGGAGGGTTAAGTTAGTCACCCTCTGTGACTCTACAGTCAGGAGGCGATGTTTATCTTGCCCAGCCTGATCCTGCACTAAAATATATCATACAATTAGATGTTCTTGAAAAATATGAATTACGAGTTCTCTGTAAGCAGGGTTGGGCAAATCTCTTCTTTTAAGAATCTGTAAGTGTTCATCAAATGCCAGAGAAATAGGTTTGGGGGACTCAAGTCAGAGATCATGACCTTGATGGGTGGAGAGAGATGTAGTTATGGGGACCTAGATTAAAGGCCTCATGCTACTACATCAACAGAACTTTCTGCAGTGATGGACATGTTACATTTCTGTGCTCTCTGATCTGGCAGCCACATATTTGAGCACTTGGAAGGCGACTAGTGTGATTGAGCATTCGAATTTTTTAATCGTATTTAATTCTAAGTAATTTAAATAGCCACATATGGCGAGCAGCTGCCGTACTGGATGACACAGCATTATATGAACCACGGTGTTTCATGAGCAGCTGCTCCCGACCGGGCAGCCTCACCTGGGGATAATTTCTGGCCATACCCAGGGCAGCTTGATGTGACTCCAGGGAAGCTGCTCCCCACCAGTGAACAGAATAGGATTTTGCTCACTGGAAGGATTGAAGCAAAATGCGGGAGGGTTTGGAGGCCCCAAAGAAGGGAGGGTAGAGTGCAGGTTACAGCTTGGCACGGGGGCCTCGGTTAGAGGTTGACGTGGGTTCTGACTAGTTTCAGACAGTCCTGCCTCTCAGCCTTCGTATCACTGGCCTCGTGGGTCCTGTGCGCTTCAGAAGTGTCTGGAGCAAGATGAGGAGTTGGCAGTAAAGACACCCGAGTTTTGTCTCCAAGGGACTCATTGCCCGTCTTGCCGGGATTGCGCTGAGTGTGTACATGTGGGAGGGGTTGGTCTCCAGTGCGCCCTATGAGGTAGGGACTCTGCCTATTCTGGCTCAATTTATGCTTGAAGAATGAATGAACGGATGAACACATTGGTTTGGGGAGCTGCTGGGGTGGGGTGGTGCTGCCCTAATGCACTTCTCTGGTCCTCCTTCATAGGAAAGAGCCCTGTGAGCTCACACCAGTGGCGTGTGGTGGTTGGGCACCTGGGTCCTTGGTTAAAGGAAGGAACTCAGCCTGGCTGTGCCTCCTGTCTTTCTTTCCCCTCTTCCTTCTCTGCATGCTTGCCCCCGCACCCTCTCCTGCCCACCACGTCCCCAGTTCTAAGCCCCTAGTAGATGTCCTCGGACTAGACCAAGCTCTTCACTTCAGACACACACCTCAGCTCTGGAAGGTGAAAAACGGCCTCTTTTCCTCCCAGCTGATCTCAAGGAGAAAACAAAACCTTCCCCCTCTTCTCTCCTCCCTCCTTCACCCACACAAACAGACCAGGGGCAGATTACTGAGGTAAAAAATGACTCAGCCAGTTGTTTGGAGGTCCGGATCTAAATGCTGCCAAAAATTTACTTTGTGTCTCTGGGTGAATGATTTCCCCTGTCTGGGCCTGGGTGTCTGCATCTGTGAAACGGCAGGGTAGAACAGACTCTAGAAATGCTAACATTCCACGATTTAAAGTAGAAATGTGATTATTGGAGGGGCTCAATCACTCCAGGCAGCTTTGCCATTTAAAAGAGGAGCTGGTTAACCCAAATGAGTGTCTAATTGGCAGCCCGCAGTGAGGGCTCTCCCTTAAGCAGGAGGCCTTCCAAGTTCCCTCGCCTGATCCCTCGTACCTTCTCCTCCCCTATCCCCAAAGGGTCAGACTGCAGAGGGGACCCCCTGGTCTCTCAGGCAGGAAAGGTCCACATTCACTGTAACGCTCTCAGAAGCTATCAGCTGCCCGCAGCGGATTTCTGTCATTCCCGGGCTTCACGGAAGGAAAATCTGGCTGGAGAGTAGAGGTTCAGATAAACAGGAATCCTGTGTCTAAAAAATAAGTCGCCTGGGAACTTGAACTTGCTAGTGTGATAATAAAAGGAACACAGAGTGGGGGTCGGATGCACCTGGCTCTTGGCCTCCTTCCAGGCTGTGTGGCCATGGGCGGGTCACTCCACCCAAGCTGTGCTCCCCTCCTCTTTAAAATGAGATCATAACCGGCCCTGCCGACCTTGCTTGGCTGCTGCGGTGGGGACCACAAAGAGTTGAGGGCTGCATCTGAGGTTTCATATAAAACGTGGTGCAAATGCAAAGTGGCGGGGATGGCACGTTCACCTTCTGCAGCTACAAACACTGCACATAATAATCGAACAGCACAGTGCCAAGCTCCTCCCGGCACCGGTGAGCATGTGCGGTGAAACAGTAAGACGCTAAATCACTCACGAGCTGTTTAAAGGATTAGACAGAAATGTTAATGGCAACAGATGTCAGCTTGTTCACTCCTGGAGGACTCGACTCTGGCTTCAGTGGAGCATTTCTCTTGCTGGCTCCAGCCCCAAACGAGGCCACAGCTCAGACATCTGTTTCAACCCAGAGTGCCCGGGGCTCAGTTTCTGCCCTGAGGTTAAGGCTCTGGCCGGGAAAGCTAGAAGAAGCCAAACTTCATCTTGGGAGGGTCTCCGCATGGCAGTGATGCCCCGTAAGATCAGCTGATCCAAACTTTAGAGGAAATGAGAAGCTAAAACCTTAGCCTGGAGCCTTGTTTTTGTTTTTTCCGGGAGGCTCTGAGCAGAGCTGAGAGCACTTGGTTCTAGTGGGGATTTGAAGACATCTCCAGGTCCCTGCACAATGAGACCTGGGTGTTCGGCCCTGTAACTGCTCAGGGCCTTCCGGATCTAACATCCTAGGGGACCATGAACATGGATGACGAGAGGCTGACCCAAGGATTGTTCCAGAATCAAGCTTTCTCCTCCTAGCACTTGGCAGCAAGGTAGACATGAGCGAGTGGCTGCATCCACATCACCATCTGGAATCTTTGGTTTCAGAAGCACTGAAAGAGCAGAGCCTGAAGGAGCCCCAGGAAAACACTTCAGGGAACTTCCGACCCTTCAGACAAGTGGCTGCATCGTGGGCCTCCCACACTTACCTTTGAAGGGGGACTGTGCTCTCGTTGTGAGGAAGATCTTCTTGCTCTTCTTGCTCCGGCCCTCCTGGCGGATGTGGTAGCCCAGCGCATTGCAGCGGCCCTTCTTGCAGCTCAGGCACAGGCCCCGGCTGAAGCTGCCCATGTCGTTGCACTGGTACGCTGTGCTCTGCATGCTGGCATGCAGCAGGGAGTCGATGAAGAGGTGCACCGAGCGCTCGTGGGAGCATTTGACGGTTTGAGTGATGGCTGCAACACGGGCCAGAAAGGACATTATCACCCCTTGATCCAAAGCACCCTCAACCCAAAGGATCCTCTTGTTTTCAGTGCAGACTAATGGCACATTGGGAAGGAAGGGGGGTAGTTGCTGAGGTTTACCCTCTCATCGGCTGAAAACTACAGGAGTGGACCCGTCTCAGTCACTTGGTGGAGACGCATCACCCCAGGCACTGTGCGGCTCCTGAGGGCACCCTGGGGTTTTAGTAGGAAGCCTAAGTCACTAAGAAAATACTGAATTATTTAAGAAAAGAGGGCACTGAACTTTATTTAAAAAATATTTATGTCTTGGGGCACCTGGGTGGCTCAGCCAGTTAAGCATCCTACTCTTGGTTTCGGCTCAGGTCATGACCTCACGGTTAATGAGATCAAGCCCTGCATCAGGCTCTGTGCTGAGAGCATGGATCCTGCTTGGGATTCTCTCTCTCCCTCTCTTTCTCTGCCTGCCTGCTTCCCCCTCCCCCCACTCATACTTGCTTTCTCTCAAAAGAAATAAATAACCTTTAAAAATATATGTTTATGTCTTAAATGGTTAAAAATGTGCAAGGGCTGATGCCTTGGGTTGAATTAGCTGTAACAAGCTTGTGTGGAATGTCTCCTTTCTTAACAAAGCTAGGAAAACGAGTGCCAAGTTACTCTTGGGGCTCAGCTAGTGGTCTGGTGAAAGCTGAGGCCTCTCCCCTGACAGTGTCTACCTTCTGTCCTAAAGCAGCCATTGCCTCCTGGCCTGTAAAACCAGCAAGGGGATTGGCTTCTAAAAGGATACATCCTAGTGACCAGGTTTGCATGGGCCTAAACTGAAACAGCAAGTTTAGGAAGTTTATCTAGCATGGATTTTTGATCTTTATTTTTTACTCTCCATATCTTAACCTAATCTTTAATAAATTATTCCTAAGGAATGTTGAAGAACCACCACAAGGTATGTAAGTACCTGATGTGAAGGCACAGCACAGCTCACTCTGTCAAAAGGTATTTCCCCAAGTGTTTGAAGGCTATCTGCCAAGATGGGACACCTCAGTTCTTGGTCTAGTGCTGCCATTTGTTGAGCACCTACTATGAGGCAGGTACTATGCTGAGTGCCTTCACTCATCCACTTCCTGAGTCTTCCCCATGGCTCCTTGGGGCAGCTGTTACAGATGAGAAAACTGAGCTTCAAAGGCATTCACTAACTCATTGAAGCTCACCCAGCCAGGAGGTGTTGGGGAGGTAAAGCATTTACCAGACTACATTCTGTATGGGTGTGTGGGGAGAGGCACCCACAAGGTAATTGCTTTTAACTTTTTAAATGTTTTTAAAATTTATTTCTGAGAGAGAGAGACCGCATGAGCAGGGGAGGGTCAGAGAGAGAGGGAGATACAGAATCTGAAACAGGCTCTAGGCTCTGAGCTGTCAGCACAGAGCCTGACATGGGGCTCGAACCCACAAACCGCAAGATCATGACCTAAGCCGAAGTTGGATGCTTAACTGACTGAGCCACCCAGGTGCCCCAATGATTGCTTTTAAACTTAGAGGCGAAGAAAACTGAGAAAAACCACATCAAAACTGGGCAAGCAAAATAAACATACCTGGTTCACTCACTGAAGTTTAGAACAAGAGAGCAAATGGCATTAACTGGTCAGAGATGCATTTGCCAGGCAACTAGTTACTAATCCTGGAGGCCTGTGTTGAGTGTTGAGAGAAAGTAGATCTGGGAGGAGGGCTCGTTGGTCAGCCAGGAATGGACCAGGACCTGTGGGTGACTGGAGGGACAATGATGGGAGGGGCACGTGAGGAATGGCGAGAGGAAGTTTCCAGAAGGTTCTGGCAGGTGTGTGGGCTGGTAGAAGGCTGGGACTCCAGCCAAAATGAGATGATGTTGAGTGCGAAGGTCATTCTTACACTGGAGAAGTGAAGATGGTGATGTAATTACAAGAGAGTGTGTTCTCAGCTTAGTTTGGGATGATGGAGGTGAGAAGAAGGTACACGGGGGTGGGGGTCTCCAGTTGGCTTAGTGTGAGTTGGCATGTTTTCATCAGGATGATATTTTATAATAATGAGAGATTTGAAATGCCTATGGAATGTATGATTTTTGCTGACAGTTTTGTTCATTAATCCTGTGCATGTTGTCAGCATGCAACTTACTGGTTCAGTCTCAGATTTGAGAGAGAAGTGGGATCACAACCCAGATCATGCCCCGACAAAAAGGAAGTGACAAAGACATGTTAGAGCCAGACTTTGAATAGGAAGAATCCTAGTAAGGTCCTGTAGGATCACCTTGAAGGAACCTCACGAGAGTGGAAGAGTTACTGCCACTCCAGTCAGTCCAAGGATCAAGGAGCTATGATCTATTAAGTGCATCCTCATGTGGCCCAGAATAGAGGAAGCCCCCTGGGTGAGGAAGCTTCTAGAGAAGGAAAAATAGCCACAGGCATCAGGACTCCACTTTCAGGAGGGGTAGTACCCCAGGAAAGACTCTGTTGGGTACACTGGGTGCAGCTAAGAGGTAGGGATTCCTGGTGGCACCCCAGCTCATTGTAAGAACTTGGCCTCCAGTGACCACTGCTAGTTAAGCAGAGGGCCTCCTGGGCGGACACCAGCCCTTACCGACTCTCACAAGCCCTCTCTCCGAGTGGGCTTGAGGACCATATACCCTGGGTGCCCACCCTTGCTGAACTCTTCCCAAAGTCTCACAGAGCTGGAGATTCACTGGGTCCAGGGGCTGCATGCAAGTGTTGGGGGATAGAGGCCGGTGCAGGCCAGTGCTCTCGGCCGGGCCTTCTTTCTCACCAGTTAAGCCATGCTTGGTAATGTGTTTGTAGAGGTCTAGGAAGTGGCAGCCGGGTTGGAAGTAGCCGCCATTGGGGTAGAAGTCATAGTGTGCTATGGGCTGTTTGATGCCCACACTCAGGCCCATGTGCTCCCGGGTAAAGGTGTGAATGGCATCCACAAAACTGGCATCATCTGGCGAAAGACGGTCACTGAGCGAAGATCCCTCAAACAGAGGGCCAGCAGCATCCAACCCTAACAGGAAAGCAAGGGTAAGGGTTAGGTGGGAGCAAGGGGAGGCAAGGAGAATGCCCTCTTTAGCTTTTTGATGTTATTACACATTCATGAGCTAGCAGGAAGAAGAAAATCCTAGGGGATAATCTTTCTCTAGAAAATCTTGCTATAACCTTTTAGCAGTAAAACCACAGTAATTCATGGTGCTGAAAATTAGACACAGGCTGTGCGTTATCTAATGAGGAAAGAGGTCTGCAGGAACTATCCAGTGGTAGAAATAAGGTTATGAGGGAATGCTTGATTTATTTAAGCAAATCAATTTTAAGTACCTCTCAAGCTACTTTCAAGAGCATCTGTTTGCATACAGAAAAAGCCCACTGTGCTTATTGTAAGTAGTTCTAACCTACCCATCAAATAAAGAATTTATTTGTCTGTATGTTGTCAACAATTTCCCAGAGTGAGCTGGCTTTTCTCCTACACCAATGTCATTTCATTGGAATGTCCAGAACAGCCTTGGGACATCACTGTTCCCTGGTGAAAATGTCATGAGCAAATGGGACATCTCAGAGCTCTGGTCAAGTGACAGATGTGTGTGCATGAGACTAACCATAGCTCCTGGTTGACTGTATTTGGGAAGTATTTATGCACTCAAAGTTTTTCCTCTGTCTTTCTTCTTTCACCTTCTCCGGAGGGCCCTTTGATGTCCCACATCAGCCCTGGCTTCCATCCCTGTTGGGGGTGAAGGAATTGACCAGATGGGGGTGGTGAGAGCGCCTGTCTCCAGTTCTCACCCATGGTTACAAATGAAAGATGTCATGGTATGATTTGATTCTGTTCTTCATGGGGCTGAGTATGAGATGACAGCAGTGATTAGCTGTCCTGCCACCTGACATGAGTGAGCCTGGATAATAATGCCTGATGTGGCCCAGGACACCAGCCAGAGTGGACATGGTGCTGGGCCTGGGGCTGCCTCCTTGCGATTCTGACTTAGCCTTTGAGGCCTGGTTCCTTGGCGATGGGTCTCATTGCCCTTCTGTGGAAGTTCTGCTCACTCCCAGCCTATTGAGGGTTACAGCACAGAGGTGGAGCCACAAACAGTGGCCTGTGAAGCAGGTCTCCCCAGTCACCAGCAAGATTAAAAAAAAAATAAGGATGAGGAAGTGAGTTCTCATAATGACAAATTTATTTCTTTTCTTTTCTTTTTTATTATTATTATTTTATGTCTTTGTTTTATTTTGAGAGACAGAGACAGAGCACGAGTGGAGGAGGGGCAGAGAGAGAGGGAGACACAGAATCTGAAGCAGGCTCCAGGCTCTGAGCTGTTAGCACAGAGACAGACAGGCTCAAGCCCACAAACCGTGAGATCATGACCTGAGCTGAAGTCAGACGCTCAACTGACTGAGCCACCCAGGCGCCCCAAAGTTATTTATTTTATTTTTTTAATTTAAAAAAATTATTTATTTTTTAATAGTTTATTGTCAAGTTGGTTTACATATAACACCCAGTGCCTATCCCAACAAGTATTTCTTTTAAATGTCTGCCATGATTCCTATCTTTTAACCTATTCTTTGGTGAAGTAGTGGCAATAGTAGATATTAGCTGCCAAAAATATTGACATGATAGAATTAAAGGCCACAACAACGCTAGTCGTCTTAAATTTCCTTTGAATTGTTTTAGCCTGTGAAGTATTATTGCTTTAACCTGATAGGTATTGAAGAATGAGTAGGAGTTTGGTAGGTAGACAAGGGCTGAGTGGATAAGTGGTGGTAAAATATCCCAGGCAAAGGGAAAAGGATGTGCAGAGGCCCTGAAGCACAGGAGGCCATGGCATGTTTGTGGAGCGGAAAAACACCTAGTGTCACAGAAGCCTGCGACTACAGGAAGGGAATGGCTGGAGGAGAGGCCGGAGAACTCTGGAGACACTACACCGAGAAGGGCCTTGTTTGGGCTTCCTGAGTTTCATCCTGTGGGTGTCTGTGGGCCTTGGGGACTTGGCTGGGGAAAGGTCTGGTGAGATGTGTTCTTCCCATCAGAACTGTGGGGTAGCATGAGGAAGAGGTTGGTGTCTAGGATGCCTCGGAGGAAAGACCTTCTCACACAAGTCGGGTTCTTCCTGGGTATCTGGGGCCATTTCCAAGTTAGTGTAGAGCTTCCTCCCTCAGTCCAGATGGGTCCCGGAGTAAGACCCACATGTTGCACAAACGTGGAAACTGAGGCACAAACATGGCCGATGTTATTGCAAATTTCAGGCTGTGATTCTTTTTTTGCTCATATTGGGCTTTTTAAGCTAGAGGTTGAAAAATTCTTTGCTGGTAGAACAGTGTATAGAAAGTCTGCTCTTTAGGTCCTATTTGGCATGACTATGAGAGCCATCCTTTGGAGGACAGGCACCAGGAGTTGAGGCTGTAATTTACTCTGAATTCTCGAGGAACAGCAGTCTATGACAGTGGTCATGTTTGACGCCGCACAGCCAGTCTTCCTGTGAGCCCCAGTGTGCAGGAAGGAGGCTGGAGGCCTGGTAATTATGGGGCTGTGGGGGAAGCACGTCCTGTTTCACACCCCCCACGCCGTTGTTAGTTACCAGGCGCGGTTACCTGTAATTCTCCCAATCTTGTGCTTTCCGCCGATGTAACTGCCCGCGAATCCTGAGACATGTGCCCCCAGGCTGTACCCAATTAGATGAACATTGCTTCGAGAAAATGGAACAGATTCCTGGAAGACAGAGGCAAGATGGGTACAGGGGAGAGCTGCCGGGCAGAAGCCTGTGCGAGTCCAGCTTATTCTTGGCTCCCACCCTGTTCCTTGTGCTGGGTGACAAATGAGGTGCTTAATTCATCCCCCAGACCCGATCTGGTTTCTCATTTATTTTTTTTTTAGTTTATTCATTTTGGGAGAGCACGTACGCAAGCAGGTAAGGGGGAGAGAGAAGGAGACACAGAATCCCAAACAGCTCCGTGCCGTGAGCTCAGAGCCCGATGTGGGGCCCGAACTCATGAACTGGGAGATCACGACCTGAGCCGAGATCAGATGCTTAACAGACTGAGCCACCTAGGCGCCTCTTGTTTCCTACCTTTGCTGGCTTCCACCTTTCAGGCTCAGCTACCTGGGCCCCTGCCTGGTAATGCTGCCGCCACCCCCACCCCATTACTAGGACCTTAATGCCTTGCACGGTGAAACTATGGGGTTTGATGGTGTTACAGGTGTGTTTAGATCCCTCAGCACATCCTAGGGAGTGAGCATAAAAGAAATAGTGGAAGGGGTGGGGAGGGAAGATAGTTCTACTGAATAGGGGTTTAAGCAAGGCATCTGAGGGGGCGTCTGTACCACTGCCCTCCAATTTCTGTGAGCTTAGCAGAGTGGTCCAGCTCCTGCCTGGGCACTTGGAAACCAGCCTAATTCATTGAGACTTAGGAGAAGGGAGAGGAAGGGAGGGAAGGGGAGATCAGGGCAGGGCTTACCTCCAGCCATTGGATGACAGCGGCCACCTCCTGGCCCACGAGGCGAGTGTTGCGCACAGCCACCGTGTAGTGGTTGTGGGCCAGGGTGAGCCAGTCCGCCAGCCCCACGTTCACCGGCTGGTCCAGCCCAGACTTCAGCGCGGCAACCATCTGCCAGATCCAGCTTTCCAGAAAGCCGTCCACCTGCGGGTGGGCCCACAGAGGAGTCCGTGTAACCGGGAGGGGACAGAGACCGGGAGGGCGTCTCTACTTTCTCTCTGTTCACCTTTTTTAATCCCCCAAGTCTTGGCTAATTAATGCTGGATCCTTCTTTTCAGAAGAAAAGGCTTCAGGCAGTGAGGGGAGTGGGGGGAGTTGGGGTCTCTGCAGCTTGGCACTGTTGACATTTTGGGCCACATCCTTTTTGTGGTGGGGGCTGTCCTGTGCGTCGTAGGATATCTAGCAACATCTCTGGTCTCTGTAGGTGCCAGCAGCGCCCTCCCCTCTAAGCTGTGAAAACCAAAACTATCTCCAGGCTTTGCCAAATGTCCCCTGGGGGCTACCCCTGGCCTCAAACTGAGAACCGTTCTCTTAACATGCCCCTATTTTATAAAGAGTTGCTGAGCCTTAAAACCATGGAAAAGTCTGTGTAATCAGGTGCTGAAAGCTGACCTTTCCTTTGAGAAGCAGTTCTGGTACTTTCAGCTCTGGGAGGGAGGCCTGCGGGGCCATGGCTGCAGCCACGGCTCTGAATCCCAGCCCCTTTGTCTGCCCCCACCCACCGTGTCTGCTTGCTTAAGAGGGAATTAAAGGCCAGGGGCTGGAGCATGGCAGGAGCTCAGTACACGTTTATGAGGAAACTTTCTGTGTCTGCGCCCTGTTTGAGAACCAGCCTGCAAGTTCTCCTGATGGGCTCATGGAACAAAGTCATTTGTACTGCGTCTGCAAAGACAAACAGGAGGCCACTTACAAGAATAAGGGGGGGCTGGTGAATGTGGGGCATGGCTGTCTAGGGTGGTCCAGGCAGAAGGAAGAGCACACGCAGTCAGGAGAGGGCCCTGAGGTGTGTTCAGGGGAAGAGTCTGGTGCGGCTGAAACCAGACAGTGGGAGGCGAGGCCGGAGTACACGTACAATACTGATGACGTGGCAAGTCATTCCGAGGTCAGGTGCGTCCACTTAGAATGTTCACCTAGCGCTTTCCATGTGCGTAGAGCATCTTGGGTTCAAATCCAGGCTTTCTCAGATACTGAGTGACCCTAGGCAAGTTAGTTAACTTTCCTGTGCCTCCTCTGGAAAATGGGGACCATAATAGTACTTTTTCCAGGATTGTTGTGAAGATGAAAGCAGTTAAGTTCTAGTTAAATACTTAGAATGGTGCCTGGAATGTGTTAGTACTCAGGAGATGTTAGTTATGCAGAATTATTTAGTTACACAGTTATGTTAATAGTTGTTTACATAGTGAAGCAGCTGTTGTTGTTATTACTAGTAATAATAGATATATTCCCATCTGGATTTTAAGAATGAAAAGTTCGTTCTGGTAAAGGACCTTGGTAAGAGAACCTTGCGATCTTCATGTTGCATTTTATAAACAAGATATTTATATCACTTATTCAGTTAACAAATATTTTTGGAGCACCTAATATATAATGGATCGTGTCCTCAAGAGAAGAGGGAGAAGACTCTAGGCAGAAAACACAGCCTGAGCCATGGCCAAGAAGAGAGAAATCACAGCAGAGTGGAAGGAGCTCCAAGCAGTTGAGTGTTGCTGAGTCTAAGTGGGGGGCAGGGAGGGTGAAGGGAAGCAGAAAGAATGGGGACAAGGCACAGAAGGTAAGGGGTTCAGGCGAGGAAAGGAGAGTCAGGGAGGGTGGGGGGAGGCAGAGAGAGTGAGGGGAGGAAAGGAGAGTCAGGGAGGGTTAGGGGGAGCATGGGAAGATGAGGAAGGGGCAGGGAAAGGCGAGGGGGCAGGGAGAGTGAGGGAAGTCAGGGAAAAGTGAGGGGGACATGAGGAGTGAGGGGGGCATGAGGAGTGAGGAGAGGCAGGGAGGGTAAGGGGGCAGGGTCAGAGGGGAGGCAGAAAGGGGAAGGGGAGAAAGAGTGAGGGGGGCAGGAAGGGTGAGGGGGACAGGGAAGATGAGGGGGCATGGAAGGCGAGGGGAACAGGGTCACAGGGGAGAGCACCTGGAGTGAGCTATAGATGTGCTGCGAGCAGCCTTCCTGACTTGGTGGCTCTCAGCTCCAGCTTCCACCTCCGCCCTTCCACAGATCTCTCCACTGAATGCATTCCCTCCTTCCCACTTCCTCTCTTTCTTCTTGTAAGGAAAATCCGTTTGGCTAAAGCAGCTGAGGAAATGGGATGTTCTTCTCTACAGTTCCTGGCCTGCTTCTAATCCATTTCCTCCCTCAGGGTTCCCACTGGACAGAGTCTGATCTTTAGTTCCCTTTAAAAACAGCTAGTCCAATCTTAGTGTTCTGCCTTCTGTTTTTCTTAAAGAAGCATGGGTTGAGCTCCTATCCCAGCTGGAGAAAGCCACAGTGAGGAAGTTGCAGTGTGAAGCCTGCTGCAGAATTGGGGGGCCCATTCAAACCCCTGTGGGTTTGACAAAGGCACAGTGAACTGGTGGTGTTTGAGAGTGTGAACTTGGAGTGTGAGTGTTCTGAGTGAATTTGTGTCCACTGTTGACTGTGTGACTATGGTAGCTGTTTGACGTCTCTGAGTACAGTTTCTTCATCCGAGATATACTAACCCCCCATGTAGGGAGTGTGGGGATTAAATGGGTTGATGTATAGTGTAAAGGGTCTGACTTATGGTAGGGCCTCAATCTATGTTAGTTCTCTTCTTTAGGGGCAAGAAAGCCCATCATCACCCTAACTGCAGACCCTGGGGTATATGGAACGCCCCCCTTCCCTAGGGTGGAAGCCCTTTATATCCTATGGGGAAGCTGCTAGCTTCACCGCTGTTTGTGCCTGTAGCAATGGCAGCATCCTGCCTCATGGCTACTATACTCATGTGGCATCACCATGTGGTCTACCACGTGAGACCAGGAGCAGGGTCTGTTTTGTTCATAGGGGTGCTGTGAGCCTGCACATAGCAGGCTCCCCATGATTACATGTGGAAAGAGTGGAAGGTGGGTTGACAGGCTCATTTTGTTCTCTGTGGGAGGAGAGATGAGGGTTTCAGGAGTATTCTTCTTTCTTTCTTTTTAATGTTTATTTCATGCTCAGCAGGGAGTCTGATGTGGGGCTCATGACTGTGAGTCATGACCTGAGCTGAAATCCAGAGTCAGATGCTTAACCAGCTGAGCCACCCAGTTGCCCCAAGAGTATTTTTCAACGAGATGGCAGGGAAAGGTTTCCATGTCATGAAATAGACCCCCAAATCTCTACAGGTTTCAAGTTCTAGACTAAGCTTCAATTCATGGGTTGTTTGGGAGCCAGGGAGGTACAATTTCCTCTTGGAGACAAGTCCTTGCTTAGTTTGACTTCAACCATTGCCTACAATATTCTTTCCCCACTTTGTCCAGGATTTTTAGCATCCGAGAAAGGCCACATTTTCTCTAAGAGGTTGCATGTCTCAGTCACATTTCTACTTAGGTATGGAGAATGGTTCTAATTGGAAGCATTTCACAGCTGCTTCTGGGTAGCTAACCTAAAAAAAACCCAACACTCTTTTATACCAAAAGCCATTGGATTGTACACTTTAAATGTATGCATTGTATGGTATGTGAATCATATCTCAATAAAGCTGTTTAAAAAAAAAAAAACTACTCTTTGACTCCTTTGTGTACGCCGTTTACTAATTGTGCTACCTAGAATAAAGATGTGATGATTGGTCCTCTGGCTGCCATATTGGACTATAAGGACCAAACTACACTCTAAGGATGACAGAGTAGTAAACTGAAAATGAGTTAGGTCCCTGAGGACTTGGGTTACATAGCTCTAGATGATTGTGTGAAATAGAAACAAACTTCTGTTTTATTTGAACTGTTGCCAGTTGAGTTTCTGTTATTTGCACCAGTATTTAAACCTTATAGTTGCAACATTTCGCTGGGAACTGTGTCTTCTGGTTTCCTACCTCCTCTTGTGAAACATGCAGATTCACTTGCATGGACTGTAATCACTTATGGGCCTTCATGTGCTGTGTGACTTCTTTGAGCCATATTTTATTATCTGAAATGTGGAGATAATTATATTTTCCCTATCCTGCTCATTCATGGCATTGAGATAATCAATGAGATACTGTGTCGAGAAGCACTTGGAAAATTAGAATGTCCTTTACAAATATTATGCATGAAGTTGTTATCACTGGCTCCCTATCTTTTTATTAAAATTGGATATACGAGAGAGGGAAAAAAAAGAAAATGTAAAAGCTAAGAGAAAAAAGGCATGTCAGCATTTCCTACCGACCACCCATGGATTATCATCACCAGAGGCAGAGAGGAGTTGAAGCCACACTTCTGTAACGTGTCTGGGTGATTGAGCCGAATCTGACAGCCCTTATCCGTTTCTTCTTGAAAAAGCAGGAATCTCGTCTCCGTCGCCTGCAATGCTTCCTTTGTTTCAGCAGCCCTCAGTCTTCTTCCAAATGGCCCTGGAATGTAAGATTGGAGACAGTGTTTACCCTGGCATCTGTTCTAACTCTGGCAGCTCTGGGACAGCCCAAAGGAGAGCACCAGCCAGTGAGGTCACTTATGAGGTGCCGGAGGTAGGCATGGACCACAGGTGTGGGGACCTCAAAAGAGCATGTTCAGCAGAATGTCCGTTTCTTCCCTGGGGGGTGATGAATGGTGACCTAGGAGAATCCAACACAGGTAGAAGGGGCCAGATCCTCCATCCTGCCTTCCTGGTGACTATGGGATCAGCCAGTCAGACAGTGGAGTAACTCAGAGACAATAGTGATACAGAAGAGGCAATTGGGGAAGATGAGTATTTCACTGCAAATCACACTGCTAATAAGAGATGGAGTCAGGATTTGAATTCGGTTCCCTCTGATTCCAAGTGCCTATATCCGTATGCTGTAGAGACAGTGAATAGAGCACCTTAGTTAGATGACACTATTCATTTGCTCATGTAGCTCAGCCTGTTGTCACTTGTAGACACATTATACCATGCAGCTTTGCATGGACGAGGTAGGGTTGGGGTGGAGAGAATCTCAAAGAAGTGGCTGATTCTGCTGGATGGTGGGAATAACATTCAGGGAGGACTTTTCAGGGAAAGTGATGCTGATCCTGCCTGGAAGGATGGACAAGGGCTTGTGAGGGGTGGGTGCTTGGGTGGTGGGAGGAAGCAGGGCTTTCTGAACTACGGGGACAGAAGAGTTAGGTTTCAGAGGGTGGTATCCTGTGGGCAGGAGGAAGAAGAAGACAAGGCTGGGCAGTTGGAGTGTCCTTGGCCCTGGGATGCTGGGAAGTCTGGACTTTATGCCCTAGATGATAAGGCTGCGTCTAAGGGGTTTTTCAACAGTAAAGGCTAATAAAAGTACATCCTTTATCTTTGGATAAAAGATACACATTTAGAATCTTTCAAAGACTGTGGAAGAATGAGGTAGGGAGAGAAAGATTGTTTTCAAGATTTTACCTTCTGTAGTTTTCTCAAAATGTCTTCGAGTCTCTCTTTTAGCGGAGCCTGACCCTGATCTTGAGCCATTTTGGAGTCACGGTGAGCAGTCACATGACTCTGTTAGGTAGCCCAACAGCTGTCAAGGCCGCGGTGTTGGCCAAAGACCAAGGCCTCTGCTCAGGGGCTGTGAGAAGCCCGCGGAGGTGTTATGTTCTCAGGTTGTGACACCAAGATGGGTGACATCTTTTCTGCCATGATCAGGGATCAGGCCAGGAGCTGGGGAAGGATGCCCTCATCCTCTCTTCCAGCTGAGGGTGGGCTCTCCAGCACTGAGGGGCAGACATGAGGCCACACCAGCATTTTTTTTGTCAGTGAACTCAACTGAGTCCAATTACTGAGGATCCGAACCATTCATTCTGAGCATAAAGTCATTCAGGCTTCTCAGACAATAAGTTTTGGGCTTTTGGTTTCAGGGGACAGCAGGACAGAGAGATGATGAACCTAAAGTGCAAGGGGAGGTATTAATGAAACCAATTTTCCTACCCAAAGGTTATTAATTTGAAAGGTTATTAATTCCCAGCAAAGGGCAATGATTTTTCACTACGATGACAGAATGAAATGCATCATATTTTATTAAAGGGAGATGAGACTCTGAAGAACTGCTCTGTGATAATTAAGAAAATGTCTGCCGCCCTTTTTGGCTTTCCCAAGCTTCGAGGCTGCTTGAACTTGTCCTCGTCCCCTGCCAGGGGGGTTCCCAGTTCATGCTCCCATTTTACTGGCTGCTGCCATCCTGGTCTTCTAAGTAGAAGCTGCAGTGTTACCTTGCACTCCTACACCAGCCTTCCAGTCAATCTGAAACTTTGGGTTCCCAAATATGCCTAGAATCCAGTGTCCTAGCTCGGGCGCACACTGTTTCTTGGTTGGTTGATTGCACAGTCTCCCAACATCCATCCATCTCTCTCTCTCTCTTCCCTCTCTCTGTTTGAACATGACATCCTCTCTCACACTGCTGCTCAAAGAATCTTCCTAGAACAGTAATAACTATCATATCCATTAGTGACTTTGAGCTTCATGGTATTGTAGCCAAGGCCACCACCCAGTGATAATCCCTTCACTCCCGGCTCCTCCCCTCTTGCCACCCACTGCGGATGGTTTCCTCTACTTCTGCACTCTCTCAACTCCCCTCCCCCGTCTGTGCTGCTCTGTGGTGAGCCCTGGACCATCCATTAGAATGGAACTCAGCCATCACACCCTCCAGGAAGCCTTCTCATCTAGTCAGAGATCATTACTTCCTGTTGCTGCCAGCACTGTATTGCATCTTTGATTCTAATGTGCTTGTCATGGGACCCAGTAATTTATTTGTTTTAGGTGTGTGCCGTTTCCTCCACCAGGCTGTGAGCTGGTAGGTGCTCAATAAATGCGTCCTGAGTGATGTGGTATTCCACAGCATCCAGGTCTCCAGTCAAAAGCTAAGGTTTGATTTTTCTGCCATGAATACACTGGTGCTAAATGCAACTAATTTTCTTTTACTTAGTGAGGGAATAGCTACATCTATCGTTTCAGGATAGCTGACTCAAATGCTAAGAAGACTATATATGAAAACAAAACAGGGATAGAAATAGTACCTCTCTCATGAAGTTGTTACCAAGATTAAATAAGATATTTGTAAAGAGCTCAGAACAATGCGGGGCACATAATTAGCACGTACGTAAGGCTGTGTTGTTAAAATAAATACCAACTGGAGCATCTAGCATCTTGCATTTTTGATCTGGGAGATCCTTTCTTTCTGGGAAAACTTATCCTAGTTGCCCTCAGAGGACCAATTCTGTCTTATGTGCATTTACTCTAGATTTAGCTGGAGAATAAGCTCTGCCCTCAAGGCTGTTTAGGAGAGTCCTATGGAGAAACAGCTGTCAGATGGAGAAGCCCACAAACAACTGAACTGAACTGGCTTTTCCCTTTTCTTCCTGGGGGCTTGGCTTTCTTTTGGCACATATAGGAGTAAGGAAGTTATGTATATATATGTATATATTCATTCATTTATTTCTGCAATAAAAACTTATTAAACATATGTTATCATATTATGCCTTGGGCCCTGGCTAGGTATTCTTTGAAAGCACACAGGGCACCACTTCTGTTTTTCAGGAGTCCCTTATCCGATGGTAGAGGCAAGTGTGAGAACCAGTCAATGCATGTGGTTGCTTTACATGCTATAGTGGAAGGATACCCTGAATAGGGGCTAGAGAAGATGCCAAGAGAAGATGAGGTATCATGTGAGTTTAGAAGGATGAAAGAAAGATGCTTTAAGAGCTCACATCTAGGACAAACTCCTGAGAAAAGTGAGACTCATACCTGAAAAAAAAAAAAAAAAAAGGATTTCATGGAGGACACGAGGGTTGAAGGGCTATTATGGGGAAGAGAGCCTAGAATTCTCTTGTGCAACTCCAGGAGATAGAAACAGAATCACTGAGTGGGTGTGACATGGAAGAAAATTTTAGACTTTAAGTAGTTTACAAAAATTTATAGTTGAAGAAATAGGGACAATAAGAAAATAAGGGGTGGAGGTAAAACAATAAAGACAAATGCTAATGGATTAGTACTCTAAAAGGCACACTGTGAGATCATGTAATGTTGCTGAAGATAGGCCACAGATTTTATTCTGAGCTTCTTTTTGGCCAAATTACAGAGGGAAACAGGAACAGTTAGGGGATTCATGGTGTCTAGTTGCTTACACTTTTCTGGTCCTGGAGCCTGAGATGGTTTCCTTATATGTTATTGTGAAAGGAGTCCATTGCATGAGGCAGTGGCCACTGCCTTCCACTCCATTCCTGCAGAATATGCAGTAGTAAGTTGTATGTGGTTAACTCTGAGAGTGCTTGGCCATCCTCAATGGAAGTAGCAGCCGTAGCGCCAAACAGCATTTAAGTCATAGTGAATCTCTGTGAGGCTCTTCACTATAATGCAGCAGTCGTCTCTGGGACTGAGGGAGGCAGGGGCCACTTCAGGTCACATTTTGGGTAGAAGGAAGGGGTGGAGCTCTAGAGCTCAAGTGTCTGAGGCTCCATGGGGGCAGAGTCTGATTGTCCCCTTTACAGAACACAGAGAATGCTGGTGCATTCTGGGCCAGGCCACAGTGTCAAGGACGTCCTGCTGTCACCCATACCACATGTGTACCAAAATGTTGGCCTTGGCCATGTGTTATAGCCAGCACTTGACTGACCACCTCTCCCAGGGGTTCCTTTTGGTACTGCAAACCCAGTGAAGCCGGACTGAATTTATTTTCTTTCCTCCCAATCCAGTTTTCTTCCTTTGTCTCCGATGATTCAAAACACCATTATTTGTCCATGCTGTTGCTCAAGCTAGAAAACTTAGAGCTGTTCTGGAATGTTCTCTGTTCCCTTGGTGACCCTCATGGGTCACTGCGTACTGAGGATTCATCATCAGGCTTGTCTTCTCTGTCCCCTGCCACTGGCCTAGTCTAGAACTTCATGCAATTTATTTTAGAATTGTGGAATTGTAATAGACTCTTTTATATTTTATTTGTAGAATTAATACAAACTCATAGTATATGTACATATAGTTTGAAAAATGCTGAAATGAGTAAGGAATCTCACTCCTGAGAGAAAAACACAAGTAATATTTGGAGTATTTCCTTCTCTTGTGGAGATATTTGTTCCATAAATATTTATTTGGTGTGTCTAAAATTGAACTCTTACTACGCAAATGACTTCATATCCCTCTTCACCTGTCATGATAATTTTCTTATAGCATTACAAATTCTTAAAAAACACCCCTGGGTGGCTCAGTCAATTAAGCGTCCAACTTCAACTTAGGTCATGATCTTGTAATTTGTGGGTTTGAGCGCCGCATTGGGCTCTGTGCTGACAGCTCAGAGCCTGGAGCCTGCCTGGGATTCTGTCTGCCTCTCTCTCTCTCTCTCTGCCCCTTCCCTGCTCAGGCTCTGTCTCTCTCTCTCAAAAATAAATAAAGATTAAAAAAATTAAAAAAAAACCATGTTTTTGAAAAGTG